ACCAAGTTCTGCTGAGTGCCAAGTCAGCAGCTACTTGTGCTACAGTAGTTATGAAGGCGAGAACTCTCACTCAGACGAGATCTGAAACCTATATGTTGCTCTGGACATCGATGCCATTCGGTGCCGGTCCGAGCCCAGGAGGCTTGGAAGCTGCAACAGAAGTTTGGATACAAGAAGCTCACCATTTAGCAGATACATTGGTACCACCTGCTTCACTAGAGCACTCCATCGTATGTCCAGCATTCTACGACTCCGCTATCTTCAACTACTGTAAGCCTACCATACAAGAGGCCTTCCTCTCCTCATCGATAGATGAGGGAGAGGGGCTTCAACTAGCCGACTATGTTGACGACTATGCTGTTACCGGCGATACGGTTGCACAGGTGAACTGGCACTATGACATCGTCGAAGCACCCGCAAAGCTCCGTGGTTTTCATTTTCCACCGCTTAAACGCTATCAGACGTGGGATGAAGACAAGGACAATAAGCTCCTCGGCTACGTTCTCAAAAACGACCTTCTATCCCCGGTTTTCTCGGCTAAATTACTACCCGTTGATGGCAACTCGTCTTTGGTGACTAAGCGCATGGTGAGTCATACACTCGCATCCCTATACGACCCGCTAGGGAGATACATCGAGTGCAGCATGAAGGCCAGGGTTCTTTGGAGGGCGGTCGTGGAAGCTGTGAAAGACGACAACATATCGCCATCATTAACGTGGGAGAATCCGGTACCCAAGGCGTTGATACTTGATGTCAATCGTTGGACGGAGCTGGCTTCAACCCTACCGCCCACGCCCCGGTTTATACCGGTGAAGCCGAGTCCGATGGTCAATGAGAATGGTTCATGTCAAATATTGGTGTCTTGTGATGCGTCCAACATAGGGTGGTGTGTGGAGGTGCGGACCAAACTAACAGGGCTCCCAATAAGCCCTCGGCTGTGCGCCAGAGCTGGGCTTTTTTCACACAGGAGATCGGTCAACTCTGAGGGGAAAACGACCTCAGTTCCC